GAACACAATTTAAAACAGTACCAAAGATAATCTGATTAGGCATATTAACTATTAAAACAAGGGTAAATTCAGAAATAGTACCAATATTTCAATGCCCTAAGAAGCTGTCTCTCAGAAGACCGATTAGGATTAAGGAACAATGTGACAAGATCTCTATATACCAAACAGCCCCTGAATCCATCCCCCAAAAAGTCATTTTCTAATTACCAGAGGAAAAACCAAAAATAAGTGGAAATGCCCAGCCAAGAAGCTAAAGCACAGAATCCCTGGGCAAAGTACTTGGAAAGAAAATATTTAAGTAACATAGTTCATACAGAAAACCAAAAACAACAGTTCCAAAGAAATGGAAAAACCATTTCAATTCCACACAAAGAAATGGAAAATATGGAGTCAGACACTTGAAGGAAAAGCTTTACACTGTGAGATGAGATAGTCACCTCTAATCTCACTGTAGCAGAAAATGTCACAGAAATGGAACCTAAGCCAGCAATGGTGCTAGACCCCAGTAACCCCAGCTTCTCACGGTCTGAGACAGGAGGACCCCAAATTTGAGGCCAGCCCTGAGAAATTTATCAAAACTTTTCTCAAAATTCAAAAAAGGGGTTGATTGGGGGTAGGAACAGGGATATTGCTCAGTGCAAGGTTCAACCCCTGTACCTCATTTAAAAAAAAGAAAAAAAAGTGCAAGCCTCTAACAAATCCAATCACCAGCCAGTTTTACATTACAGCTTTCCTTCTGACGCTATATCCAGATGTTTGTAACTCAATTATATTTACTATGCATTCCTGGAAATTTCTTGGACAGTCTGATCCTACAGATTATTTCCACCAAGGCACAAATGTCCCGACCTTTCTGGACTTTAAGTTTCCTAACTGTAAAATGTGGGCACCATGCCAAATGAGATCAACTACAGGGTCTCTAACCTTTCTTGAAAGTTTACACCTTGTGACAAAATTGTTACCAAAGTCAGCTGTGAGTACAAAATTTGAGTCTGAGGGAGGAAAAAAAGTTTACACTGTCATTCCAGAGCCAACCACAGGGAGGAGTGAGGGCTCTGAAAAATTCTCGAGGGAGCCAGGGTATTTGGCTTTTACCTGAAGCCCAACTGCTAAGTGGGCAAACCCTTAATTCCAGGCACAACTGGAGTCATTTTCTTGGCTCCCTATACCTAGACTTCACAGTACTCTTCACAGTGACACACAGTATTGTCCTTTTCTCCCTTTCTTTCGAACACTTCTCCCTGTTCTTTACAGTTCCATATCCAACACTACTCGCCCAACACTACTCCTTTTAATCTAGGTGTTTTCCTTTCTTCCAAAGAAAAATTTTCTTTAAAAAAAGCTCTCAATAGGATGAGAAGAAAATAATTGATGAAATGGTTGAAAATCAAGGGAACTAAACAAAAACACGGGCAAACCACAATTTCTGAGTTTTAGAGAAATTCCAGGAGAAACAATTTACCAAGCAGAAGGAAGGAAGGAAGGAAGGAAGGAAGGAAGGAAGGAAGGAAGGAAGGAAGGATAAAAATGACACAATTTGTTTTCCATAGGTCATAAAAGGCCCTGCGAAGTGTGTGCAAATGCGTGACAATCCTGGAGTTAGGCAGTGTCCCTAACTCAGTGCCCAAGGCCAGGCAACTAGGTGTTAAGAATATGAAACAAATTATCCACCCGGCTTTCTTTCCCTGTTGTCCCTCACCCAAAGAGGCCCCCGCATCACCTAATAAAAAATAAAAACTAAACAGCCCCTTACGTCTATTTAGCTCTTTCTGAAGAGGTAAGTGAGTACAGACTCCCTCTTTCCACCTTTACTGCGACGCTACCCCTCACCGCTGAACAGCCCGGAGGCCCGGGCTGGCACAGGGGGATGGCGCGAAGACACGGAGAGGGCGATCAGTGGGCGGAAGGTGTCTCTCCCCACATGGCCGAGCCCTCGCCGCCACCGGCCACCGGCCCGCGGTTCCCGAGCACCCGCAGCTCCCTCGGCCCCGACCCTGCGCTAGCTGTCGCCTTCCAAAGTGCCGCGGCGGCCGCAGGCTGTCGGTTGGGACCCTTCCCCGGGGAGGACCCCATCCCCCTCCTCGCTCCCTTTCCCGGACAGGTTTCCGCCGTGCAGTGGCCAGGCTGCGGACCCAGCCTCCTCACCTCCATGGAGACGCGCCAGCCTTGCATGGCGGAGAAGCCGTAGGGCAGCGGGAGGCGCGGGGCGCCGACCCCGTCTCCGGAGCACTTCACCGTGTTGGGCTGGGAAAGGTAGGCACCCATGGCGGCGGCTGGCCCGCAGCCTTAGGGGCAGGCGAGTGGGGCGCGACCCGTACCGGAGCCGGAGCTCCGGGGGCGCGCGTGGCAGGAACGGGCCCGGCTGCGCGGCCGACGCCAGGTGCCGGTGAAAGGCGCGAGGCCGGCCAGGAGGCGGTAACGGGACGCTAGCTGAGAGGGAGCGGAAGCGGAAACGGCGCCGCTTCAGTCCCCGCCCGGCCGGAGAGGCGCCGCGCGGCGCTGCGGGCAGTCATTTCCTTAGCAACTCGCCCCGCCCCCAGGGCCGCGGCCCGCCCAACCGCCGCTCCCGCGAGACTGGCGCGGCCACGCCCACTAACGGCCGCGGCCGGCCCCTGCTTCCGCGTGAGGGCTGTGTTGCCCGCCGCTGCCGCCCACGTGCTCCCCGCTGCCGCCTCGCTCCCTGGGTCGGCCCCTCGGCGTTTTTTGTCCGAAGCCTCTTTTCTGTGGGGCCCGTGGCTCCCGGGCGTCCTACAGTATTATTTATCACCCTTGTCTCCCGCCCGCACCGACGCCCTCGGATTCCGCAACCCCGCCGGCTTCTGTTCAATTAAAGTTGAGTCGCATCTGTTCTGAGCTTACGCGGTCCTTTGCCAGGCCCTGTCAGGCCTCTGCGAGAAGAATGTTAGAGGTTTTTTTGGCAAAGAATAATGAAACCCTCGACCTGTGATACAGGTCGAGTTAATACTGTATAGAAACGTTTGGTGCATTCTGCTGGGTGAGAAAGATAAAGGAGGGGAGAGCGAGGCGTGGCTTGGCGGAATGCAAAGCTTTTAGACACCTGGAGAAGCCACCGTAGGACTGTACAGTATCATAGGAAAGCGGGTAATGTCACAAGGTGGAGGGAACGAGGAGAAAATGGAACCGGCACTGGAGAGGGCTTTCCGGGGGGCCAGCTGGCTTCGTGGGAGGATTCTGAGTGGTAGTGTTAGATCCCTCCAGAGGTGATCATCAACTCCCAGGTGGGCAGCTGAGTCAAGGCTTGGCGAGAGTGGGGCTGCAACCGGTTAGAAAGATGAAATGAGCTGGGACTGGGATGCCGGGGGCCGGCAGGTGGCAGTGGGAAGAGAGATGATGGATGTTAGAGATTAACAAATGCGACGGATTTAATAATGGCTTGGACCCAGGGGGTGGAAACAAAATGCGAAAATCTCCAAACAGACAAAATGGACTCATTTAAAACACAAAATGAAAGCAGGTGGGATGGCGCATGCTGTCATCACAGCACTCTGAAGGATGACGCAGGAAGACTGCCCGGAGTTGAAGGCTGGCCTAGGCTCTGTGGCAAGTTCAAGGCCAGCCCGAACCACATAGCAAGAGCCTGTCTCAAAACACATGCACGCAGGTACGCACCCACACCGATAAGGTACAGTGTGAGGACACCAGCTGCTCGGGAGGCAGAGGCCTGGGCAGTTTAGCAAATCCCTGTCTCAAAACAAAAAATAAGCAAGGCCGAGCTCACTGGTAGAGTACCCTTGAGTTCGGATCCCCAGTACCACCAAAACCAACAAAACTAGTAATGGCTTTTCCCTCTTACACGTTAAATAATCAAAAACTCCTTAATTTTTAGGAAATAATTAGAGCTCCTACATATATTCGTCACTGTGGTTTACAAGACCCTGCTTGAACCGACTGGGTTGTACATTTCACACCCTTCCATCTGTAACTCTGCTTCAGGAGTACAGGTGTTTTCTTCCTGTGTTTTCCCACACCTCTCTACCCAACCTACTTAGCCTTACTTTCGTCAGGATGTCCTTGCTTATAACCCTGTGTTAGTTTGTACCCTTGCTTAATTTTCCTCATAGGCCACATTATTGAGTCTTCTGCATATCCTGGCAAAGTTCTTATGTATATGCCCAACGATACTGCAGTATTTGTTGAATTAACGAATAATACCAAGGTTTTGACCCTGAATGACAAAATTTGATAGAGTCATTAACAGCAAATGGTGGGAATTGGAGAGGAGATGCTTGTTTGGGGAGAAAAAATGGGTTTAGCTTAAGGTGACAAGTAGCCACACCAGTGTTAAAAATATATATATATTGGATTTGAGTTAGGCTGTGAGGATAAAAGCTTGTAGGGTGTCATGAACCTGGATGAGTTCTCTGACAGGGCAGTGTTGAGAAAGCATGAAATTCCTCTGCTGCTGTTGCCGGTTTGGGGATTTTGTTTTTTCTTAGGAAAATGCGACTAACAATCATGAGTTTTATGTTGTATTAGTGAGGTTTTTCACAAGTTACCTATTTCGTCTCAGGTGTAATTTCTCATACATTTAATCTTCAAGATTAAAGATAGGAACTATAAAAGCCAACCTGTAATCCCTGCACTTGGGAGGCTAAAGCAGGATGATCTTGGAGATTTTGAGACCACCCTGGGCTATGTATTGAGTTGAGTTGAGACCCTATCGCACACAAAAAAAAAAAAAAAAAAAAAGAGGGACCCGGCATCAGCAAGTGCAAGGTCGTGAGTTTGATCCCCGGTACTCAGGAAGTTCAAGGCCAGCCTGGGCTACAGATTGAGTTCCAGGCTATCCTGAACTGCAAAAACCCTGTCTCAAAAAGACAGGAATGGGGCTGGAGGTTTAGCTCAGCGGCATAAGTGCCTGCCTTGCAAGCAGGCAGTCGTGAATTCCATCCCCGGTACCGATAAAAAGGAAAAAGGCAAAAAAAAAAAAAAAAAAAAAAAAAAAAAGACAGGAAAAAAAAAAAAAAACTATTGGGCAGCAGAGTCTCCAAGGTCCCTTAGGGCAGCCCAAGCAGCAGGCTATGTACACTACCAAGGAGTTGCTGTTCACAGCTATGGCACTCTGGGCACCCACCAGCGAAGGGACCCAGTCAGCTTCGTTGTCTGCAGAGGGTTACCATTTATTAAATATCCATAGACACACATATAAAGTGGAAATCACATCAGATTAGGCCATAAAAAGTAGGAGATGTACTAAAAATGGAAGAAAATGTGAAGTGGAAAAGAAAATAATTATGCAAGCAAAAAACGAGGCACTGGGAAAGTAGTGATGTCACAGAAACGGGAAATAAAGATACAAGGGGGCTGACGGAAAGAGGAAAAAAATGATGAGCTAGGTGTTGTGGCTTGTGTCTGCAGTCCTAGCACAAAAGGCTGAGGCTGGAGGATCAAGCGTTGGTGCCCAGCCTGGGCTACCATGGTGAGATCCTATCCAAAACAAGTGGGTGGGGAGACAGGGAAGATACTCTTCTTCACCTCTATCCCATCCTAAATCCCTAAAGTACTCTTTGAAGACACAAAGGTTCATGCTGTAACGGAGGGTATTTGTTAAACCAAAACACGACGTTCACAGGCTCATACTTCTCAGCACCATCTTTGTCTGTTTTTAAGTATGAGCTGCAAACCTTGGCTGATTACAGATGCAGTGGAACCAGCTGTTGAACGTGTGTGCACCTGAGGGGTTGATCTGAATGGAAAAGCAGGGCGTGACCTTTACAACGTATATCATATTCATTCCAAGGCAAAGAATACAGATGTGGAGTCTGTCTAGTGTGATAGAAAATAACCAGTTTACCACTCAGCAATTGCTACACTTTCACAATATTTCCCAGTACCGCTTTTAATTTATTAAAACCACTAGATTTCTTTTTCAGATTTTCTTGTCATTTCTTGCAAACTAGTCAAACACTGCCGATAACTGACAAATACCAGTCATTTTACAAGCTTTTTTTGTTTGTTTGTTTTTGAGACAGAGTCTTGCTGGCCTTGTAATCTCTAGGTAGGCAAAGCTGACCTCAAACTCTTAGTGATCTTCCGGTCTCAGCCTCCCAAGTACTGGGATTACAGCCGTGTGCCATCTCACCAGGCCTTAAAAACTGTTTTTGTTTTGTTTTTTTGCTGCTTTCAGTTGCCTCTCATGAGCAGAAAGAGGAAAAAGAAGATGCTTTGAGGCAGCGTGTGTGTGTGTATCCAGGTATGTTACTGGGCATTGAATCTCGGGCTTTTGTACTAAGCTACGTCCCCAATGCTGCCATCCCACTTTTTATCTTGAGACAGGATCTCACTAAATTTCTAAGTTGCTCAGAATGGTCTGGAATCTGTGATTCTTCCGCCTCTGGCTGCCAGAATGCTAGGGTTAGATGTATGTGCCGCCACACCCAGTCAGGCAGTGTTTTTTAAACATGAGAAATCGTGAAGGGCTAGGGGTTTAGGTTACTGACAGAAGGCTTGCCTAGAATGTCTGACACCCTAGATTTGATCCCCAGAATCACAAGAAAATAAAAACTTAAAAAAAAAAGGTGAGCCAGGCGTGGTGGCGCATGCCTGTAATCCCAGCACTCAGGAGGCTGAGACAGGAGGATCATTGCAAATTCGAGACCAGGGTGGGCTACAAAGTGAACTCAAGGCCAGCCTGAACTGCATAGTGAGACCCTGTCTCAAAAACAAGATTAAAAAAAAAAGAAAGAAAGAAAAAAAGAAAGGTGGATCCCTGTGACATACATTTGTAGATCTCTAGAAGTTCAAGGGACTCCAGGCTGGGCAATATTGTTTTACAAGTGAAATGCTCGGCCAGAAATGGGGTGGTACACACCTGTAATGTCAGCACTCTGGAGGCTGAGACAGGAGGATCCCTGGGAGTTCAAAGCCAGCCTGTGGAGTTCAAGGCCAGCGAGAACTGTGTAGTGAGACTCTGTTTTTTGTTGTTTCGTTTTGTTTTATTTTGTTTTTGGTATGGGGGATTGAAATTATGACCTCATGATTACAAGCTGCTAAGCTAAACCTCTGGCCTGAGACTCTTTTAAAAAAATGAACAAAAAGCTAAATATTCTAACTACATTATATGATGACACCAGTTCATTTTTAAATGTCAGTATAAGTTCAGAATTACTCAGAAATAAAGTAAGCAGGCATGGTGGTACATGCCTGTAATCCTAACACTTGGGAGGGTGAGGCAGGAGAATTTCCACAGGTGTGGGGCCACCCTGTGCTACATAGTTCAAGGACAGCCTGGCCTACAAAGTGAGATCCTGTCTCAAAAATAAAATAGTGTTGGTTCACATGATCCAAAATATGCTGGAATGCACACATATATATACAGATATTTAGATACATATGGAAAGGAGGGGATAGGGAGATTTATAAAAATTAAAACGTTTTAAAATTCTTAGACAATTGAGGGTACTTGGGAAATATAAGACGCTTAGATGACAAGAGATCACAAATGAAGAAACACAACCCGCAGAATAATAGAATAACAGAATTTGATAACTGAGGACAGAGTAAAAACATGGGGGGAAGCTGAGAACTAGGTTCACACAGGCTTTTCTTGGGGTTTCCATTCTGGATTTGACTCCTTCTTCTTTCACGCCTGATGACATTAGACTATTCATACAGTCTTAACCTGTGCAAGTGCAAGTTTTGTTCTGTTTTGCCAGTGATTGAAATCAGGGCCTTGAACACACTGAGCTGCAAGCCAGGCCTCCACAAGTACGCGGCTCCTGCAGCTGGAGGAGTTGAGCGGAGGTGAGTGTTTCCCTAAGTGCTTTTGTTTTCTCAAAACATTTTCCTCAAGGAAATTGCAGATTGGATGCTATATTCCTTCCTCTTGTGGTTAAAGTGATTGATCCAGGGACAAAAATAATCCCAGGGTCAAGATTTACAGCTAAGAAAGAATACACATATTTTAAAGTTACTAGAAAAGGTGGGGTGCGGGAATCCATTTCTGAGCTTCTGGGCTCTTCTAACCTTCTCACTTTTGTAAATCAAAAAAAATTTATTTTGATACTGGAGATTAAACTCCCAACCTTGCTCTTACCAGGCAAGTGCTTAAGCCACTGAGCTAAATCCCCAGCCCTGTAGACAAAAAGTTTAAAAGACTTTGAGACGCTTTCACATCTTCAAAAACTCCCTTCAGCAGAGACTGCCCCCCAGGCAGCCGGCCAACTCCTTAGGCCTTAGTGATAGCAGAGGCCTCTGCCAGGAACCGGCTTTTGATATATGAATTGACCAATCCAGAGCCTGAGCTCCTCTATCTGTCTCTGACACTGCAGAAGGCAGTGTTCCTCCTCTCTAACCATATCTGGCAATTAGGAATCGCCCTCAGACTTGGAGCCGTTCCTATAAGCTCTTGACCTGCTCTGCCTTTCTCTTAGAAACTCAGGAAGGATCTGGCCTGCGGTCCCATCTTGCTGCGCACCTCCCACCTGGCCAAGACGCGGTGCATCCTTGGTGGCCCGCCTAGCAGCACCGGCCCCTGTGAGTAGGACCTGTGACTATAAAAGACTCAGTTGCTTTGTACCTTGCCTGTGTCTCCTCTTGGAGGTTATGTGACTATCACCTAAACAACACAGAGCAGCTCTCCAAAAGTGAACACTTAAGTGAGAGAAATGTTATATTTACAGTTGCATTTTTTGTATTTCTTTTTTGTTTTGTTTTGTTGTTTTTGATGCAGTCCAGGCTGTTCTTGGACTCATTATCTTCCTGCCTCAGGCTCCTAAGTGCTGGGATTACAGATGTGTACCATTGTGCCCACTGCATATTAATATTTCTAGCAGGTGAGACATCCATTATCTTGAAGTGATTTGCTTTTACTCATGGAAATCACTAGCATGGGCCATTTGCATTTGCATAGGGAAATACCTTTAACCTAAAGCAGTGGTGGCAAACCTATGGCAAGCCTGTTGTTTGTTTTTCTTTTAAAAAGATGTTAATGTATGAGTTATTCTTTCTAAACCTAAAACCTCAGTATTCAGATTTAATTGCAGTGTTGGAAGTTTGAGATAAATGAGTAGGTTTTGGGTGCAGTTTGGGCACTAGTCTCTAGAAATTTCAGCTTCACTGTCTTAAAGAAAACCGTGATACGAACTCTGAAGCAAAATTCAGATGTGTTGGCCTAATACACCAAAAAGTATCTACTTATTAGTAATATACTGTATATCTGACACAGCACTAGGCCCCAGAGGCAGAGGTCTTTTTTTTCCCTCCCAAAATATAGCCTGAAATGCTTCTTAAAATTGTTTTTCAGTGATCTCTGTATGTTTTTATCCTAGCATTGTCTCACAGGTGCTCACAAGACTGGGACCACCCTGAGAAAGGTGCCAATGTGATCAGCACACTGCACACAGGAAGACAGACTGGCCAGAACCTCAGATAGGTCACAGGTGGCTTTAAGGGAGCCCAATTATCTGACCCAGAGAGAGTGCATGGCTCCTGCAACTGGAGGAGTGGAGTAGAGGAGGTGAGTAGAGGTGACTGTGGTCCCCTAAAGTGAAAGATGGGTGTTTCCCCCAAGGAAAAGGCTCCTGCCTCCATCAGACATTCTAGAACAGAAATAAGCAGGCCTTGGATGGAAGAAGGAAGAAAGGACCTTTTAGACCCTGCCTCTTCCTGGCTCTAGGGTTCCAAGGTGGGGCATCCTCTGGAGCTCCCGGGTGGAGAAAGACTTGGAGGGGGCAGCTCTGCTTTCTCAGAAATCTGAAGAGTAACTACTTCCGGGGACAGCTGGGAGCCACTCTTTGCTTTCCAGGCCTGTGGCCTCTGTGTTGTGTTAAGCTGAACAGGCTGGACTGAGTCAAGCTTTGGGGAAGAGAGGGAGAAGATGAGGCTGAGTGGCAGGGTACATACAAGCATATACAAGGCCCTGGGTTCAAGCACCACCAATGAAAAATAAAATAAAAATGAGAACCAGGAGATGACCTGTGTCCAGAGGGGTGAGCCCCTGTGCAGAACCTGGGAGACGTGGTAGCAAAACAGGAGCCGTGTATTCCAGAGCGAGGGCAGCTGGCAAAAATGAGAGTGGTTTCCAGGGAGACCTGTGGCAGGAAGATCCCCAGTCACTCCTGGGGGAGTCCCCGAAATCCCTGAGTAAGGAAATTCCCTTGCCATGTACA